CAGGAATGGGAGAGTTAAACCCTTTCCAGTTGGAACTTCTGCCAGCAGACAGAGTCTCCTGCAGCTGGGAATTGTCGGGGAATAGTTCCACGCTAGCATCAAGTGTTTCCCAACCTCTCAGGCTAAGAGGATGTTACATCTACCACTGGTTACAGAGCTCTGAAATCTGGGCAAAGTAGAGCTAGGCCCTGCAATGCCAGTGTGGTGAGGAACCCACTCATGCCAATGTGCCTGGGATCACTACTATAGCACTGGCCTCCTCCATGTAATACAATCACAGAAAATGAGGGCTGGAAGGGAGTTCAGGAGGTCACATCTAGTCCAACCCCTGCTCTAAGCAGGACCAGCCCCAACTGCATCATCCCAGCCAAGGCGTGGTCCAGCCAGGGGTGGAGATTCTACAACCACTCTGGGTAGTCTGTTCCACTACTTCACTACTCTCCTAGTGAAAGATTTTTCTCCTAATATCCAACATACACTTCCCACGTTGCAAGTTGGAACCATTGTTCTGACATCTACCCCTACTGAGATCATTCCAGCTCCATCCTTTTCGGAACCACCCTTCAGGGAGTTGAAAGCTGCTATCAGATCCCCTTCTGAGTCTTCTCTTCTCCTGGCTAATTAAGCCCAGTTCCCTCAGCTTTTCCTCACCAGTCATGCCCCACAACCCCCGAAACATTCTTGTTGCCCTCTGCTGGACTCTCTCCTTTTTGTAATGACAGGGCCAAAACTGGACATGTGTTTCTAGATGTGGCCTCCCCAGTGCTGAATAGGGAACAATCACTTCGCTCGATCTGCTGGCAGCCCTCCTACCCATGCAGCCCAGGATGCCATTAGCCTTCTTGGCAACACGGGCACACTGCTGGCTCTTGTCCAGCTTCTTCTCCACTGTCACCCCCAGGTCTTTCCTGCAGATCTGCTGCCCAGCCAGTCACCCCCAGCCTGTCCCGGTGCATGGGATTGTTCAATCCTAAGTGCAGGACTTTGCACTTATCCTTGTTGAACCTCATGAGATTTCTTTTGGTCCAACCTCCCAGTTTCTGGTTTTCTCTGAATCCTAGCTCTGCTCTAGGTGTTTAATCAAATATATAAGGCCATTGAAGGAGGTCTCTGTGTCTGTAGTCATTCCTTCTTGAATATCAGGCAGCCTCCAACCCCAGACCAGAGTGCTCTGCGGGAGGAAATTATGAGGCACGAATGGAACGTTCCCGGTAACCCACGAGGCAGCACCTTGGGGAGAAGGTACCCCTGGAAGTGGGTGTCGCAGGTCACTTTGTGGGGGACCCCAAATGGAAGGATGTTAGCCAGTCTCTGGATCTCGTGGATCACGGCGTTGGTGTACGGCATCCGGCCTCGGTCGTTCATGGCTGGGCTGTGGGTCCGCCCTATGACGCGGTCGATTTCCTCCTGCACCTTGTCTGCGGAGACAGGATTGGAAGGGGTGGGCTTGGTGTTTGGACCGCAGGCTCTGATGCCCCAGCAATGTCAGTTGTGTAAGGACAGGCCCAGCCTCAGTGAAAACCCTTCCTCAGCCTATCTTGGGTGGCCACTACTGCCTCCAGAAGTGCCCACCTTTTTCTCCCCCTTCTCGGTCTCTTCTAAGCCTTCCAGGTCTTCCTAGGAGAGAAGGCACCTTCCCAGCTGGATGGTGTCACTAGCCCCTGGTCCGAGGATCCATTGTGTCAAATGCAGCACGGACCCACAGCAAGAGACATTCAACGCCCCCAGCCCACTCTTATCTACAGGCACAAGGCAGAGAGTGATATTCCTTCTGTCTTCAGCCAGGGAACTGTCCAGTGCCTGGTCCAGGGCTGCACAAGGCATCTTGGGCAGAGCTGGGAGTGAGATGCAGACCCTTGACATCCCACCCCATTTAACCATCACCATTGCTTTCCATGGATAACTATTCTCTGTCCAGATTTGGCAATTCAGCACCAGCTCCAGCCTCACTGAAATATAAAGCTAATCACTGCCTCGTTAGCAATTGGCATCCTTAATGGGACTCTGGAGACAGAAAGCTGGGCAACAGTGACCTTGAGATGATCACTTTCTCCATCCAGCAGAAGTCAGGGAAATTGGCAAGTAAAGTAGAAATTCTTGATTTTTAGGAAAGCTGAATTCCACAAGCTTAGGGGATTGGTTGGCAAGGCTCTGCAGGACCATGGTCCAATGAGGAAGGTGTACAAGAAGGGTGGTTGTTCCTCAAGGAAATGATCCTAAAAGCTCAAAGGGAGTCCATTCCCTTTCATAAAGAGGCAGCAAAAGGGCTGGGAGACCCCCTTGGCTCAACAGAGAACTCATGGACCTCCTGAAATTAAAACGAGAAGCCTACAAAAGATGGAAGTCAGGAATAACTACCAAAAATGGAGTACTTGGCAACAGCCTGCACCTGTAGAGAGTAGATCAGGACAGCAAAAGCACAAACCAAATACAGATTGGCAACTGGAATGAAGGACCACAAAAAGTCCTTCTTTAGATATGTAGGGAGTCAGAGGATAAATAAGAGAAGCGTAATAAATGAAATAGGCGGACCTCAACCTGATGTCATTTAATACAGTGAAATGTAAAGTGCTCCATCTGGGGAGAAATAATCCACAACACACTTACAGGCTCGGCAGCGCTATGCTTGCTAGCACCACAACAGACCGAGACCTGGGTGTCGTGATAGATGACAAAATGAACATGAGCCACCAGTGCAATGCCGTAGCTGACAGAGCTAATCAAACACTGGCATGCATCTACTGAGGCATCTCAAGCAAGCCTAAGGATGTCATCCTCAAGGCTCCCTCTAAGGTGCATGTGTGTGCGGCCGCGCACGAATAAAAGTCTGGCCACGCACCAACTTTTTCAGGCTGTGCACCCACCAGGAATGGAGCTGGGCTGTAGCGTGGGACACTTACTAAAGGTAAGCTCCTCCCTGAGGTGAGGTGGGGGTGGGGGCCTGGTGTGGGCTTCGCCGGCTCTGGGGAACTGCTCCACTCTCCCGCATCGCCTCAGGGAGCGAGGAGGCACGTGGTGTCAGGGCCCGGGAGTGGAGCCGGCAAAGCCTCACTCGGGGCAGTCAGCGGCTCCTTCCCGAGGTGAGGCAAGGCAGGGATGGAGGCTGGGGCGGGGGTGTGGCGCGGCCTCCGCTGGCTCCGGGGAAATGCTGTATGGGCTCTGCCGGCTCCGGGAAAGTGCTCCACTCCCCAGCCCTGATGCCACGTGCCTCCTCGCTCCCCGAAGTGATGCGGAGCAGTAGAGCAGTTTCCCGGAGCCTGCGCCAGGCACCAGGCCCTAGCCCCCACTGCCTGCCCTGGGTGAGGAGTGAGGAGCTTACCTTTGGTAAGTGTCCAAAGCTGCACCAAAAGGGGGAGGCAGGACTGAAGTGGCGCGCTCACAGGCCACTACTCCTTAGAGGGAACATTGGTCATCCTCCCTTTCTACTTGGCTTTGGTGTGACTGCAGCTGGATTTGTGCATCCAGCTCTGGGTGCCACACTGCAGGAAGGATGTGGCGAAGCTTGAGAGAGCCCAAAAGAGAGCCACATGCATGATTAGAGGCCTAGAGACCAAGTCATACCAGGGGAGGCTGAAAGACTTGGGACTGTTCAGCCTGGAGAAGAGAGGACTAAGAGGAGACTTGGTGGCAGCCTATATGTATATCAGGGGAGTACATCAGGGCCTGGGGGAGCATCTGTTCGCCAAGGCCCCCCAGGAAAGGACAAAGAATAATGGGTACAAGCTGATTGAGGAGCTCTTCAGGCTAGATCTAAAGAAATAATTCTTTACAAGTCAAGTGCCCAGGGTCTGGAACAGACTCTGCTGAGAGGTGGTAAAGTCCTCCACCATGGCGATCTTCAGAAAGCGTCTTGACGCTCATCTTGCTGGGGTCATCTGAACGCAGCATACTTTCCTGCTCAAGTGCAGGGGGGCTGCACCCAATGATCTGTAAGGTGCCTTCCAGCATCTAATAACCATGAAACTATAATCCTCCTCCTGCCCCAGAAACCTCACGTACCACAGTTGAGATACTGCTCATATCCAAGAATAAGTTGTTGATGCTGCCTATCAAATTCAGGAATTTCTGGCCCTTGTAGTCGAAGCGGTTCCCAAAGACAATGGAGCAGATGATGTTGGCGATCGAGTGCGTGACAGCGAGGGTGGGGTCAAAGGGAGAACCTGGTGGTGGGGAGACAACAAGGTCAATGGCTACTTTCCATTCAATTTTAGGAGTATGAAGCAGGGGAGACTCCTGACACCAAAGGGATAAAGTTTTAATGACGAGAGTCCCCCAAAGCCTGGGGTGAGGGCGTGACCTGGAAACTTCTGCAGTTGTATGCAGGCTTGGGTTTAATTAGCTGGCCCAGATACAGGTCGCAGTCATGGGTGGTGCAATAGAGACCTTGGCACCGGCTGCAAACATTCCAAAGTGTAATACGTGAGTGCTGAGGTTGCACGGAGCCCCGTCCTATGCACTGCTGTGTTATTGGCACACCTGAGAGAGGGAGCTGGGACTGGGATGGGTCTTCCCATGCTGTGATTGATGCTGGGAGTGCAGCAGACGTGTGCCTTTAGAAAGGGAGATGTGAGCTGCTGGAAGAAGTTCCCCAGAGTATGAAGGTCCTCAAGGACCAGGGCCCAGCAGTGCTGGGTGCCTGGTCTGGATTTTGAGAAGAACCTGGCATGTCCAGGGTGTCCTCTTGGAGAACTCCCCTGGCAGTGACGGGAGCTGCTGGGCTCTGAGGACTTGGATAAAGCTAGACTCTTCCTTGAGACCTGGAGTCTCTGAAAGCAGTTTTTGAGGTATTTTATTATCCATGTCCATTAACCAGAAGCAGACGAGATCTATTTGAGTTCACACCACCTGCAGAACGGTTTAGAAAGCACCAACCTTTGGTTTTCCCCATCTCCTCTACCAGGTACTGAGATTCTTCCTGGATCCGCTCCTCAATGCTTTTTTTCCCCATCCCAAAATTCCTCAGGGCCATGTCATTTAGATGGTGATTTAAGAAAGGAATGGACTGGCTGCTTAAGACGGCTTCCCAATACACATTATTCCCATGCACCTCAGCATATAGTTACATGGCATTTAATAAGGATCTACATAGGCTGGAGGATATTGCATCACGCAAGAGCCTTGCTGTAATTGGTCACATATCCATCCAGGCATCTGCCGAGAGAGAGCATGGACTGTGCTATTGGGTGCAGCCTTTGGCCATCTGGTTGCTTCCTTTTCTGCCTAATTCAAACGAGTCTCACAAGAGGCTCTCTTCATGCCTTAGACCTCTCAGGCATTTTGTTCTTTGCCCCTGAATGTGATGCCAACTGCCAAGGTGAGCCCCGAGTATGCTGGTGGGAGCTGGGTGCCACCCAAGAGCTACCCATGGTTCTGGGTACGAATCGAGGAGCTTTCTGGAGCGTGGCAGGAAGCAGTGTGAGGAGCAGGGAGTCTGCACATCACCAGCCCTCCACAGGGCTCAGCAGGCCCTTCCCTGGGTCTAGAGCACCCTGAGGGGAGGCCCCTGCTCCCCTCTGATAATGCAGTTATCTGCAGACCACCCCGACTCCAGAGCAGAGCTAGTGCTGGCGCTGATGAAAAGCCTTGTGGTTTTGGCCACTTGTGCAAGAAGTCGGTGACCCAGGCACTGAGCTCCTTTTGAGACTTGAAGTACTTTAATATCTATCACTACGAGCCTACTTAACTCTTGGCAAGAGGAAGGAATTCTTGTGGCTTGGTTGTGGCCAGAGAAGCCAATTTTGCGGTAATTTTGCAGCGACCCAGACAGGGTTATTAGGAATAATGGCCACAAATTGTTAGAGAGAAGGATCAGGCTGGACATCAGGAGACATTTCTTTACAGTTAGGGCTGCCAGGCTCTGGAGTGGGCACCCAAGAGAGGTGGTACTCTCTCCTACCTTGGGGGTCTTCAAGAGGAGGCTGGACAGATATTTGACTGGGGTGATATGACCCTGGCATCTGTTCCTGTCTGGGTCAGGGGGAAAGCCAAGGCTGCAACTGAAGTCCACCTGGCTACACATATCAAGGACAATAAAAAGTCCTTTTTCACATATTTGGGGAGTCAGAAGAAAAGCAAGGGTAACATTGGACCCTTGCTAAACCAAATGGGACATCTGACAACTGACGCCCAGGAAAAAGCCAACCTGCTTAATGCATACTTCGCGTCGGTTTTTCATCAGCCCAAAGGGACCACCCTGCTTAGCATGATGCGGGACAGCCAGGATGAGGGTGAATTTATACCCAGCATCGGTGTTGACCTTGTAAAGGATCACCTTGAGAGGCCGGACACCTTCAAGTCAGCGGGTCCTGACAGATTGCACCCCCGAGTACTTAAGGAGCTGGCAGGCGTCATAGCCCAACCACTGGCAAAGATATTTGAAAACTTGTGGCGCTCAGGTGAAGTACCCAAAGATTGGAAGAAGGCAGATGTGGTACCCATCTTCAAGAAAGGGAGGAAAGTAGATCTGGGGAACTACAGGCCAATCAGCTTGACCTCAATCCCTGGAAAGATTGTAGAAAACTATCAAAGAGACCATTCTTGGCAAGCTGGCTGATGGCAGCATCCTGAGGGACAGCCAGCACAGGTTTGTTGTGGGTGGGTCTTGCCTGACCAATCTCATCTCCTTCTATGACCAGGTGACCTATCACCTGGACAAGGGAGAAGAGATTGACATCATATACTGGACTTCAAAAAAGCCTTCGATCTAGTGTGCCATGATCTCCTCATGGAAAAACTGGCTAACTGCGGCCTCAGCTACATCACAGTCCGGTGGCTGGGGAATGGACTGCAAGGCCGAACACAGACAGTGGCGGTCGACGGAAGTGAATCATCATGGCACTCCGTGTCCAGTGGGATCTCCCAGAGCTCCGTCCTTGGACCAGTTGTCTTCAATATCTTTATTAATGATGTGGACACTGGTGTCAGGATGACACTAAACTTTGGGTAAGAGCGTCCACACCCGAGGATAGGCCGGTGATCCAGGCTGACCAGGCTAGGCTTAGAAAGTGGGCAGATAAAAACCTGATGTCCTTTGTGAGTGCTGTCGTCTTGTTCTTCTAGGGCACAAAAATAAGATGTTCTATCTTCGCCTTCCCTTGTCTTGGTGTCAGTCTCGCCTGCCACGACTCGATAGGAGAAATGAAAGGGAAACGCCACACGAGAGTGATGCTCACTTAGTTTTAATTATGAGCATAAGTAATGCCCGCTCACAAGGAGTGTACCTTAGCTGGCCACCAGTTGTCAGTCCCTCAGCCGGCTCTCCCCACAAGTTCCCGGTCAGTCCTGCAATGAATACTCACCAGGGTGGGCGTTTGCAAACCTGCCCCGCTTATCACCTCACAGCAACAAAGTCCTTGACACACATGCGGACAGAGCTGCAATTGTCCAGTAGAATCAGCTATCCGCCTTCAAATGGGCTGGGTACGCCAAATGCTTGCCACTTCAATAATAAATTCTCTGGTGACTCTCTCTCATCATCTGTGCCTCCACGCAGGGCTGTTTGCAGTCTCTGGCATCTAAAGCCTTGGCTTCTCTTCCCATTTCTGGGGGATCATCTGGTGGAACTGCCAGTCCTTTATACAATGTTTCCACCCGACTGTTAACAATCCCCAGTTATGAGCCGCCATCCAGGAAGACTTAATTGGCAATTAAGCCTTTTGGTATCCCAATCTCATTGAACCCAGCGCCACTGCCAGCAAGTAATTAATACTTCACCACAGTCCACAGCGGGCATTTAGCATCCTGAGTGGGCTAACAATCAATAGATAGCCCGGTTCCACGGGTCGAACTGAAAGTTCTCAACAAGTGGGGACTTTGCCCAGATGGTCCCGTAACAGGAACAACGTCTCCCTGTTACAACTTTCAATACAGAAAAATGCAAGATACTCCACCTCAGCATGCAGGGAACCCTGCAGCACACTTATAGGCTCAGCAGTGCTTCGCTCACTAGCACCATGCCCAAAAGATTTGGGGGTCATAACTGACCACAAGATGAACATGAGCCACCAGGGTGATGTCATAGCTGGTAAAGCAAACAAAACTCTGGCTTGCATCCATAGATGCTTCTCAAGCAAATCTTTAAAAACTTCTTTACTGTCCCAGCCCCCAAGGCCTGGAACAGACTCCCCCTAGAGATGAAAATTTTGAACTCTTTCTAATTCCAGCTTCTGCCAGCAGAGAAATCCTTCTGCAGCTGAGAATTGTGGGGAAATAGGTTCACTCAGAGTCAAGGGTTTCCCCATGTCTCAGACTACCACTGGGTACAGACCTGTGAAATCTCTTGGGCAAAGTAGAGAAGAGGCCCTAGTGTCCCTCAGTATTGCCGGGGACCAAGTCATGGCAATGGAGTGGCCTGCATCTATTCGGTGTCCTCCAGTAGATCTGACTGCCTCAGAAGTTCCTGGGCTGGGCTTGTCCCTTCTTGAATGTACAGCAGCCTCCACCCCAGCCCCTAGTGCTCTGTAAGGGGCAGAGTATAATGTGTGGGTGGAAGGTTGTTGGTGGACCCTAGAGGCAGCACCTTGGGGCGAAGGTACCCCCGGAAGTGGGTGCTGCAGGTCACTTTGTGCAGAACCCCAATGGGAAGGATGTTAGCAAATCTCTGGACCTTGGCGTTGGTGTACGGCATCTGGCCTCGGTCGTTCATGGCTGGGCTGTGTTTCAGCCCTATGACGCAGTCGACTTCCTCCCGCACCTTGTCTGCAGAGACAGGATCAGAAAGTGTGGGTTTGGTGTTTGTGCTGCGGGCTCTGATCCCCCAGCAATGTCAGCTGTCTAAGGACAGCCCCAGCCTCAGTGAAAACCCTTCCTCAGCCTATCTTGGGCAGCTAGTGCTTCCCCCAGAAGTGCCCACTTTTTGCTCCTCCTTCTCAGTCTCTTCGAAGCCTTCCAGCTTTTCCTGGGAAAGGAGACGCCTTCCCGGTTGGACGGTGCACTGGCCCCTGGTCTGTGGACCCATTGTGTTAAATGCCGCACAGACCCACAATAATAGACAGTTTGTGCCTCAATCGCCTTGTCATTTCCAGGCACACGGCAGAGACTGATATTCCTGCCATCTTGAGCATGGGTGATTTTTTTTTTCATGGCCTGGTCCAGGGCTTCACTGGGTATTTTGGGCAGAGCTGCGAGTCCCACCCCCATCTAAGCACCACCGTTACTCTCTGTGGGTAACTATTGTCTGTGCAGCTTTGGCAATGTAGCACCAGCTCCAGCCTCCCTCAAATATAAAGTTAACCACGGCCTCCTTGGCGATGGGCAACCTAAGTGGGACTCTGGAGAGGGGAGGCAGGAGCAGGGCTCTGCCCTATACCTCTGGTCTGTTCAGTTGGACTTGTGTGTGCAAATTGCCTGTTCCCTGGTGACCGACTGATAACCAAACTGGCGACAAGTCTCTGTCAAAATCACAGTGCCATAGTCACGGTTGCTTTATTTTATGTGCACATTACCTTGGACTTCTGGGTATTTCACCAAGAGCAGGAATCCATATCTCAAGGTGGAGCTCGTTGTCTGTGTCCCAGCAAAGAATAACTGGATTGCCGTCTCCACCAGGTTTCTGGTGCTAAATTCATTTTGAGGGTTTTGCTTTTCTTGGAAAGGAGGGAATGGAAAGGACTCCTAGCACATAACACCCTCCTGGCATCTGGCATGCACCTGGATTTGGCCCCTGAACAAAGGACGCCTCTGTTGCCCTGGCTTTTGGTGACTGTCCAAAAGGGAGGTGTTATTGGGTCTGCTCAAGTTGGTGACTCTATTCTTGAGTTCCCAGCCTGCTGCTACACTGCTCAGTCACGGGTAAGCACCCATAGAAAGCCTCACAGGCCTGCCCCAACATGTCGTGGCAGCAGTGACAACTTCCCTCCCTGCTTACCTCTTCCATCCTAATGAGGAAGTAGTCAATGAAGTCCCGAGGACATCTGGGGTCCAGGCTCTTGGTTTATCCTCACCCTACGCAGGATGAAATCATGTAGGGTCTTGTAGTGGTTACAAGCCCAATTGTGTGGGCCAGGTACGTATTGCAAGATCCTTGGAAACATCTCAAAGAACTGGGGGTGAGGAATCATAGAATCATAGAAAATGAGGTTTGGAAGGGACCTCAGGAGGTCACATCTAGTCCAACCCTCTGCTTAAAGCAGGACTACCCCAACTACATCTTCCCAGCCAAGGCTTTGTCTTGCCAGGTCTTCAAAACCTCCAAGGATGGAGAGTCCACCACCTCCCCAGGTGCCTGTTTCAGTGTTTTACCACCCTCCTAGTGAGAACATAGTTCCTAATATCTAACCTAAACCTCCATTGCTACAACTTGAGAATGTTGTTCCTTGTTATGTCATCTGCCACCTCTATAAGCTTCATAGTTTCATAGTAGGTAGAGTCGGTAGGGACGTGAGCAGATCATCAAGTCTGACTCCCTGCCTTTGGCAGAAATGAATTCTGGGATCAGCATTCATGAATGAATGC